AACCTCTATAACGAAAGTGTCGTGTGTTTCGGATAAGTTGTGGCCCTCACTTTTTATTTTTTTTCTTTCTCTTTTTCTTTTTATATTATAAATCCCTTTCCTTCTTTTTTGTTTTTTTTTTTTATAAAGAATTTCCTTTTTTTAATCTTTATCATTCACTTTTCTTTCTTTATTACCTTTATATATATAACCCCATTATTTTTAACATTTTTTTTTTATTCGTCGGTTAGGAAAAAAAAATATGGAATCCTCGCCCAGGAACCAATGGCGGGCGCGGAAATAAAATCGGAAATTAGGACGGCCGCGGATGAGATGCTTAGTGACACGCCGCGGGCCGCTTCATGCCGAGACGCGGGCGGGGACCTCGGCTGGAGGGAATGAGAGGGAGAGGAGGGAGGAGAGGGAGAGGGAGGTGGGGGGGGGGAGGGGAGAGGGAGGGAGGGAGAGAGATAGAGAAAGAGAGGGAGGGAGAGAGAGATAGTGAAAGAGAGGGAGGAGGGAGAGAGAGATAGAGAAAGTGAGGGTGGAGAGAGAGAGAGATAGGAAAGAGAAGGGAGAGGAGAGAGAGATAGAGAAAGAGAGGGAGGAGGGAGAGAGAGAGAGAGAAAGAGAAAGAGAGGGGGGAGAGAGAGAGATAGAGAAAGAGGGGGGGAGAGGGAGAGGAGGGGGAGGAGTGAGAGTTAGAGAGAGAAAGGGTCGGCGGGTTTCGGTAGTGAAGTGGGGCGGGGAATGTCCATAGAGTTCATGCGAGGTTGTGCAAGGTTGAAACGGTGAAACAGATATTAACAGACAGCCTGTTACACCAAGAATAACCACTGTTGCTGTTGTTGTTATTGTTATTATTATTATTGTAATTGTTATTACTATTATCATTTTCATTGCTATTTTTTGTTATTGTTGTTGTTATTACTATTATCATTATCATTGCTATTATTATCATTGATATTATTATTATTTTCATTGTTATTATTATTATTTTCATTTTTATCATTATTATTATCATTTTATTATTATTATCACCATTACTACCGTTACCTCAAATACGAACACGACGATCATGATATCGTGTTCGTGAGCAAAAACTTATACAAAATTGCAAAAAAAAGCCACGGTAGCTCTGGGTTGAAGGTAGGCCCGTTTTTATTTAAGGATGGAGAATGTGTCGCGTTGTTTCGGTTACTGGGTGCGCGGGTGTTGGAATATTGGTATTGGGGAGGGAGGATGGGAGAAAGGGAGAGAAAGAGGGAGAGAGGGGGAAGGAGGGAAGGAGGGAAGGAGGGAGGGGGAGGAGAGAGAGAGAGAGGAGGGAGAGAGAGAGGGAGGGAGGGAGAGAGAGAGAGAGGGGGAAGGGAAGGAGAGAGAGAGGGGGAGGGAGGGAAGGAGAGAGGGGAGGGAGGGAGGGAGGGAGGAAGAGGGAGAGAGAGGAGGGAGGGGGAGAACAGGCATATAGAAACAGAAACAATGCCAGAAACAGAGAGAGAGAGAGAGAAGAGAGAGAGAGAGAGAGAGAGAGAGAGAGAGAGAGAGAGAGAGAGAGAGAGAGAGAGAGAGAGAGAGAGAGAGAGAGAGAGAGAGAGAGAGAAAGACAGAGAGAGCGAGCCCGAATATCGACGATGTAGAATATCGAAGAGCAAGATTGATGAGTCAGTTAGCGGTGCATGATGCATCGGAGAGCGAGCGTAATCCCGTCGGCCTTTCCATCACAGTTATTGATTTTTTATTTTATTTCACTCTTTTTCCCTTCGCGCGATAGAGGAACTGGAGGCATTTTTGGACTGAATTGAATCCAATTCCGTTTTGTCGCCCCGCTGATGTAGAGCGAGGCCGGGGAAGCTTGGATATAGTCACTGTGCGTGTGTGTGTGTGTGTGTGTGTTGTGTGTGTGTGTGTGCGTGCGTGCGTGTGGTGTGTGTGTGTGTGTGTGTGTGTGTGTGTGTGTGTGTGTGTGTGCATTTATAGATAGATAGGTAGACATGGACATAGTGCATACATGTGTGTACGCATGTATATGATATTTTAACAGGTAAATAAGTCCGCATTTTGCAGTCCCTCCCCGGCCGCACTATCGCGTTGAGCAGAGAGTCTTATTGTGTCTGTGGAAAAGACGAGTCCTGATGGTGACTGATGGTGACGGTGGCACTATACGCGAGGGGCTATGGTGACGTCGGGGTGAGTTGCATCGCGGGCGCTATTGGTGGTGGATAGGGCGGTGGGTAGAGGGGGGGGGGGAGAGGCGTTGGGGTAGGGTACGTGTGTGTGTGTGTGTGGGTGGGGGTGGGTTGAGAGAGGGGAGGGGAGGTGAGGAGAGGTGGGGTAAAGGAGAGAGAGGGGAAAGGGGGAAAAAATGAGGATAGAGAGGTGCTGGGTTCGTGCGAGAGACAAGCTTACGTATGAGTGGAGACAGACAGATAGAGACAAAAGGAGAAGAGTGAGAGAGAGTGAATGAGGAAGAGTGAGAAGGAAAGGGAGAGTGACAGGTAGATATGGCCTAAGACGGAGATACAATTAGTCCATCAGGGAAAGAGAAGGAGAAACTGAAAGAGAGAGGAGAGATAGATAGAGAGGGAGTTGGACGGTCCAAGAGAGAGAGAGGGAGGGAGGGAGGTAGAAGAGAGAGAGAGAGAGAGAGAGAGAGAGAGAGAGAGAGAGAGAGAGAGAGAGAGAGAGAGAGAGAGAGAGAGAGAGAGAGAGAGAGAGAGAGAGAGAGAGAGAGAGCGAGAGAGAGGCGAGAGAGAGAGAGGGGGGGGAGAGAGCGTTGGAAAAGCAGAAAATGCATCTCGTCAAGTGAGGAAGCAAGACAATAGGTCCCGGATCTCTTGCGGAGAAGCGGCGCTGTTGCCATGATCATGCACGTCGGTTCGAACTCGGCGAAAAGTTGCATTTTTATTTTATTTTTATTTTTTTTATTTTTACCATTTTTATTATTTTTAGTTTTTTTTTACCCATTTTTAGCCTACTTTTTTTTTTTTATCGTGGCGTGAGGTTTGGAACGACATAAAAGGAATAACCTGTCCGGAGCATCTCTCTCGCTGCCTCGCCGTTCTACACAGGCGGCAAACAAGCGTGAAAGCGGGTTGGCTTGTTATGATGGCGGGGATCATTAGCGCGCCACGCCGTTCTCGCCCCTCGCGCGCCCGGACGGAAGGGTCAGACTGGCTTCCCCGGCCTCTGGTAATTGTGCCGGGAGTATATTTGGGAATGAAGTTCAAATCGACATGTTGTGGAGGTGGGGGGGGGTTCGGGGGTCGGCGTTGCCTGTTCTCATAAGTCATTTCAGTCATGTCTCAGATGTCCCATCCCCTGCCCCAACCCCCATCCAACCCCCGCCGTTCATCCTATCCTTCCATCCTGTCCTCTCCCCCTCCACCCCCCCCCCGAACCCAGTCCCTTTTTCCGTCTATCCTCTCCTTCCATCCTGTCCTCCCCCCCCCCCCAGTCCCTCTCCTTCTATCCTGTCCCCCCCCCACCCAATCCCTTTCCATCCGTCCATCCTCCCCTTCCATCTATCCTCCCCCCCTCTCCCTATCCCCTCTTTCCCTTCCTCTCGTTGTCGTAACTTTTTGATACGCTGTCTTGCATAATCTTCCCCCTGGGCGTGTGTGGATATTCTTGATGCTTATTAGTCGGGCCTCTTGATTTATTTATTTTTTTATTTTATTTTTTTATTTTTATTATTATTTATTATTTATTTATTTTTTGTTCTTGTTGATGTTGTGGTTGTGGTATCGCTGTTATTATCGTTGTTATTATTTTCTGTTATTTCCGCTACTGCTGTGGCTGTTTAATGTTGCCACAACTATTGTCGTTACTGTGTTGTTAAGGCTATTTTTCTCCAACTGTGTGTCAATTTTCGTTTTATTGTTATCTCTCTCTCTCTCTCTCTCTCTCTCTCTCTCTCTCTCTCTCTCTCTCTCTCTTCTCTCTCTCTCTCTCTCTCTCCTCTCTCTCTCTCTCTCTCTCTCTCTCTCTCTCTCTCTCTCTCTCTCCTCTCTCTCTCTCTCTCTCCTCTCTCTCCTTCTTCCCTCCCTCCCCCTCCCTCCCTCCCTCCCTTCCCCCTTCCCCCTTCCCTTCCCTCTCCCTCCCTCCCTCCCTCAAAAAATACTAAAAAAAAACGGACGAAGATGGTACAGTGAGATAAGAGGAGCGTAACAAAGGCCGGGAATAAATTATCGTTCGCGAATATTCTTTGTGTGACCTCCGCCTGTCTTCCACGGCGAGGAGGGAAGGCAATGCTTCACGTGGGTATTAATTCCTTTCCTTTCTAGTGTGTGTGTGTGTCTGTGCTTGTGTGTGCGATTGTTTGGTTGTGTGGGGGTGGTTGCTTGTTTGTTTTTGTGTTTGTTTGTTTGTGTGTTTGTTTGTTTGTTGTTTGTTGTTTGTTGTGTTTTGTTTGTGTGTTTGTTTGGTTGTGTATGTGTGCGTGTGTGTGTTTGTGATTTTTTTGTTTGTATTTATATTTGTTTGCGTGTGTTTGTGTAAGTGTTTTTTCTCCCTCTCATTATTAGTGAGATTTTACATCACTTTATTTACTTAAGCTGATATGTTGCTCGACGGTCTATGCAGCCAACGCCTTTGTCACTCATGCAAAGAAAATAAAACCGCCGATTTTACTCTCCTTAATGATCCTTTAGATATGTATCTTTCCCTCCGCTTTCTCTGTTCCTTTTTCTTTCCTTTCCTTGCTCTTTGTCTTTCTCCCTCTGCATTTCCTTCTCTCTCTCAGTTTTTTCTTCACGTCTTTCCCCCCACTCTCCTTATTTCCTTCTTACCATCCTCCCTCCCTCTTTCCCTTCATCCATCCTTACGTCCCTTCTAACTTCCCTCCCATTTCCCTCCCAACCTCTCGTCCCCTTCCCTCCAACCTCTCTCTCCTTCCCTCCCAACCTCTCTCTACTTACCTCCCTCCCTCCTTCTCTCCCAACCTCTCTCTCTCCTTCCTTCCCTCCTTCCCTCCTTCTTTGCCCCCCCCCGCCGGCCTAACCCCTTTCGCTCCCCCGCAGAACCTGGAGGACAAGGACCGGAAGCAGACGGCGCACAAGAACCACCTGGCGCGGGAGCAGCGGTTCCTGCGGCGGCGCCTGGAGTCCCTGGGCACCCACCTGACGCCCGCGGGCCTCGACATGGCCGAGGTGATGGGCAAGAGACGCTCGGTGTCCGAGAGCTCGTCCTTATCTTCCGCCTCCACTTCTTCCTCGTCCTCGGGATCCTCTACCTCAGAAACAGGTAAGACTTCGAGGAGGACCTTTCGTGGAGGGGAATATTTTTTTGGTCTTTCTTTGGTGTTCATGTTATTGTTGTTACTACTATTCTTATTTTCATCACCATCATTGTTGTTTCTGTTATTATGATGTTTGTTTTATTTACTATTGACTATTTTAGAGGGACTTGGAGACGAACCAAGTGAAATACCCTTGTAAGTGATAAGAAAAAAAAACATATACCATTCATGCGAACTTGATGGCCAAATATCCTGTCTTCAATAATGAGACGACGCAAAAGCTGCCTGCCACGAAATAGTCACCCGCTTCGGCTAAAACGAATGTACACTCACTCATTCATTCACTCATTCATTCATTCATTCACTCATTCATTCATTCATCACACTCTCACTCACTCACTCATCTCACTCATTCACTCATTCATTCACTCACTCATTCACTCACTCACTCACTCATCACTCACTCACTCACTCACTCACTCACTCACTCACTCACACACACACCCACACACACACAACACAACACACACACACACACACCACACACATACACACCCTACAAACTACAACCCCCCCCACACACACACACCCAACACACCCTACAAGCTACACCCCCCCCCACACACACACACTCAAACCCACGCCCGCCCTCGCTTCCCAAGGGCGCGTGGCGAGCGGATAACCGGCGCGCAGTGTGGTCGGGCGGCGCGCGATCCCCGACGTGCGTGACGCCGACTAACCAAGCTTATCACGCAGGCATTGTCGGGGTTGAGGCTCCTCGCCCTCGGACGGATAGTCGTCCTGGCCAAGGGGGGTTGGGGGTGGGGGTGAGGGCTTTTTTTGGGGGGGAGGGGGAGGGAGGTTTCTGGGGTTGGGTGAGGGAGGGGAGGGGTATTTTGGTGAATATGTGAAAGAAGAGTGATTTTGGGTGGTGATTATATTGAATGTGTATTATTCCATGGCAAGTAGATTTTTTTTCTTTTTCTTTTTCTTTTTTTACTTCTAGTGAGTGGGAAGGTTTAGTTTCTGTTGTTGTTGAGATGTATACTTGCAGGACAGAAAATGGATTTGGTTTTTGATTATGTCTTCTGAGTTTTTTTTTAAATTAAGTTGAAAACTTAAATGTATAAAAAAAACGCGAAATAAATACTGGACATAAAAGAGCCAAAACCCAGGTATCGTATTTCAGAGACTGTCCATTATGATGTTAATGTCTTTGTTACGCAACAAAGCCTTATTCTGGAGCTAATTGCCCCCAAGTGCCACGCAGGTCAAGCTCCTGTGTGGCCGCCTGACCCCCCCCCCCCTCCCTTCGTCACGTGAGACACGTGGCTCTTATTTGCGTTTCGTTCGGTTCTTCGGCGCCTCGCTTGGTAGGTGTGGGCGGGACGGATGACTTCACGAAATTAGATGCGATTCTCGACATTTAGATGTTACTTATTTGTTTGTTTGTCTGTTTTAATTTTTCTACCTGTCACAGTTTTTTTTTTTTTTTAATCTCAACAAGACTAGTCTCTTCAAGCCAAAATTATTAGAGATATAAATAGGATCTTGAAGAACCTATTCGTGAGTTGCAAGACTTCTTTCATAGCTTCGACCTTCAAGGGGAAATAAAGACCCAAGGGCTCAGGGGGGGGGGGTGTGCGGAGTCGATCGCCGAGCCGCGTGCACCTTGAGCGCGGCCGGAGTGGCACTCAGGAGCTCAGAGGTCCCTTTTCCCCGCGTGCCTTATGCCCAGTCACCCCGCCGTTCGCAGTCCCTTGATGATCTATTTGTGCGTGCGATCGGAGCGCCGCGCGGTCGTTCCCTTCGCGAGGCCGTTCAGGTGACGCGCCCAATGGACACATTCGAGGGAGGGTCTTAACCGGTAACGTTCGAGGGAGGACGTTCAGGGGAGAGCATAAGCCGGTAGCGTTCATGGGAGAACGTTCTAGAAGGAACCTCCGCCAGGAGCGTTCACGGAAGAGCGTGTGGCGGCAGGGGCCAAGGGAGGGCACCCAAGGGAGGGCACCCAAGGGCGGACGTCCCTGGCGAGAGCGCCGGTCGGCCCTGGTGCCCCTGCGGCCCGAGGCCCCGGCGCGGCCGGCCCTCCCACCTGCCGAGCCCTCGACGGCGACCGACCAAGCCCTAATTGATCGATACGTCCCCCGTCGTCTCGCCGCTGTCCGCCCACGCCGCCCACCGCGCCTCACGCCCTCCGCCGCTGCAGCCCTACGCGCAAGGGAGTCGTCATGGTTACCGTCGCGGGCGTTGCACAACACGTGCGGCGGGCGTCGTGGGGCTGCGTGGGCGACACACATGGAAAGATGCTGCAGCAACTGTGATGATAATGATAGTGATAGTGTTGATGATAAAGATAGGAACGATAATGGAAACGATAGAGATAATAATAATAACAGTGATAATGATAATAATAATAATATTTATTATTATTATTGTTATCATTATTATTACAATTATAATGAATGACACCTATGCACCTCATCACCACGGCTGTACATACCGCGATATTTTTACACCACGGCTTGTTCCGCAGCGCATGTCTGGTGCCAAACATCCGCCTGTCATGTCCCACTGAGCGTCATTTGTAGGTGTGGAGGAAATCGTGTCTTTTCTCATCCCACTTGCTTCCCCAATCTTAATGCTCATTCTGCTCGACACACATTAATGATAAAACGTGTGTCATGCACTCTAAATGGCCAGTCACTCGTCTTCAATCAGCCTTCGTTTTAAACGCCACGTCACCCTTCTTTTTGCTATATGTACGTATAAATATATCATCCTTCGCTCTATCAGGTCACCCTGCACCGACTCTAGAACGCTTCTTGATTCTCTATCGCTGTGTCACCCTACATTCACTCCATCTCTGAATGACCCTGCCCCCGCTCTCGGTCGCCCCGCACGCACTCTTAATCGCCTTTCACTCACTCTAAATCCAATAAGTCTTCCGGAACACCATTCTTGACGGAACTTCCCGGTCTTCATCCTCCATAAAACTTAGACGCATCTCTAACACACGTCACTCACTTCAGCAAAGTTCTCTAAACACGTTTCGACGCCAGAACAGACATCATCGCAAAATAGAGGAGAAAGGTTGTCGTCAGCGCCATCTGTCGCGTCCCGGCGGAGTTATTGGAGTAACGCGGGACTTAAGGCAAAGATTTACCCGCGGAGGCTTTATCGTGGTCACGCTCGAGTGCATGACGGCTTTGTCTTCCTGCTCCTCGAGATATTTGGTGACGGTGTAATCTTTCTCTTACTCATTCCCCGCCATCTCCTCCTCCCCTTCCATTTCTCTTTCTCCGTCTCTCCCTCTCTCCTTCCTCCTCTTCCACTACCTCTATCTACGCCTCCTCCTTCTCGTCCTCTTCATCTTCCTCCTCCTCCTCTTCATCTTTCTCCTCTCCTCCCTCCTCTTCATCTTTTCTCCTCCCTCCTCCTCCTCCTTCTCCTTCCCCCTTCCCCCTCGCCCAGCCTGTTCAGACTTATTATTTATATTTATGAACGTTTTCCTTTCTCCTTGTTGACGGGCGTAGCGGCCTCACCTAATCCCTCGCCCGCTGCTGTCACAGCCCCAGCCATCGCCATTATAAGCGTTCGATATCCCTTTGTGAGCGCGTGTAATAAATGGCGTGAAAGAGGGAAAGCAGGAGGAGGACCGGGATGAGTTATGCGCCGGCGGGAGGTCGAGGAGGACGCGGCTGGGGTTCCTCGGCGTCGCCACCTGCACAGATGGCTCACCGACGTCCCTTGGGATGGGTGAAGGATGGCTTGGCACTTCCCCGGCCTTACGTAACGCGGGATGACGTCTTCCCTCTTTATTTACGGTCTTGAACCAAAATGACAGTATGTTAAGTTGTCGTTGCTGCGGGGCGCTCTACGG